TTTAAAACCGAATATTCGGAATTGCAATTCTATATTTAATAAGTATAAATAGCGGATACTCTTAATATTTTCGTATAAAGGGTTAAAAGTCGAATTTAAACCGACTATTATTAGTATTTCAAGAGATTGGAAATATCGAAGTAGGAATTAGCCGTAGAGTCGATATTTTTCTTCGAAATAATTTAAGGATTTTAAATTTAAAGTTAATACGAGGCTGATTAAAGATGAATAGAAATTCGGCGAAAATAATATATTATTAGTATAAAGTTTCTAAAATTTAGTAAAGTAATTCTATTTAAATCCCTAAATAGGCAGAAATTATAATAGTAATCGTTATATTTGAGGCGTCTTTCGGAGGATATATTTATAATATAAAGCGGTTAATCTTAAATACTTAATATTATACCGCCGATTATACCCTCTATATCTCGCGACAATCCTTTAAGATTGGAACCCGAAGCCTTTCGAACAATATTTTCTACGAATAACTATCCTTATCCTCTTTCAAACTCTACGATTTTAATTACCGCTATATAATTAACTATTTTCCCTATAAAGGATCTACTCCTATAAATTATATAGATTAGGTTATTTTCCGTCTTTTAGAATCCGAGAAGCGAATTGGTGCGAAACCGGGTAATTAAAGAGATTCGAAGATTTTCAAAAAGGTTTTTATATATTAGGGGAGCTGCCTTATATTAGATAGGAAATAACTATTAGTATTCGAGGATATTAAATATCTATTTCTATTTTAAACGAAAAGGATTAAAATATAGGATTAAAAGGTTAAACCTCCTATAAAGGACGATTTGCCCTTATATTCCAAGGGCTTCTTTAGGAGAGTACCGTAAATACTCTATATTCCCCTCCCTATATTTAGAGTAGGTAATTATTTAGCGGAGCTAAATCTCCTCTACAATCTAAAATTATTAGGATATAAGAGTTATATTTCTAGCCGGGAGAGTAAAATAACGTTATATACGGCCGGTAATATATTTATAGGAACCGGTGGTATTTAACGAGGAATAACGGATACTAGAATCTATTTGAATTTTATATTTATAATTAGGAATATACAATAGCAATTCTTAATACTAATTTCCAGGGTTAAGATACCACTATTTACAACATCGATATATATAATTTTATTATTAATAAAGAAATTCGATATTATATCGATATTCTATACCTATCGCCTCCTTACTAAATATAATTTCCGGCCTATATACAACCCGGCTAAAATAATAAAAAGAATTTTATAATTCTCTTCTCCTATATTTACTTAATTAAGAAAATTAAATTTCGCTTTTTTATTATCGAATAAACGTTTAGCATTTTATACTTTCGGTTCGATAATTTCTTTTAGAACTTCGTTTATAAATTTATTAATTAGAGTTATTCTATCTAATAGAAGGTAGTAAATTTTTCTTACTATAGCTTACCTTAGCTTCGGAGGGGGTTAATAATAATTAGTACTAATTTAGGGGAGTTACTAATTTATAATAATGGTCCTAAATTTATAATTATAGTCCGGTAGGCTTTTATAATTATTGATAAGAGAAGAAGGAGATACCTTTTATATTAACCTTAAAGGTATTTATAACCTTTTCCGATATATAAAACCCCTTTATTAATAGTTATATAGGGATGTTTCGCGCGGTTGATATAAAATAATTATAGTATAACCCCCTTAATTATTAATTAACCTCTTAAATATTAAAATATTCTAAACGTTGAAAATCCCTAACCGTTAGGCTAGAAAATTTTAAATAAATTTAGAACTTTAGAAGGAAGGTAGGAAAACAAAAAAGAAGGAAAGTAGGAAGACGAAAAGGAAAGAGAGAGAAGGTAAAAGAAAGAGGAGTTAATAAATAAAAGTTAAAGTATTTGGCGTCTCCTAATTTTCCTCTTACAACTATTACTACTATAATATTCTAAGGCCGTCGCTATCGCTGTCGCTATTGCTATTATTATTATTATTACTTATTATATTCTTAGGTAAAGTTTCGCTTATTTTTATTTCGATTCTTAAATTAATATTATTATTTGTATTATAAATTCAATTACTCAATAGTAGCGATGACGATGGTAACGATAGCTGAGATATAAGGTAATAAAATTTAGTAGTTTTGGATTTAGGCGGGCGACGGGCGAGAATTAAGGGAAGGAGTAGGCCTACTAACGCCTCCGCTTATATAAACCTTAATTTACTATAAGTTTAATAGTTAATTGAATTTAACGTTTAAGAATTATTAATAGTTAATTAGAAATTATAGATATTAATTAAGTACGTATTAAAAATATTTAATTATTAAAAATAGGCGGGTTACCTATTAATATTAGGACGGCGATAAATTACTTCCCTATATAATTATATATAATACTATTGAGAATTATTACGAATTTAATTTATATTAATTCACCTCCTAGAATTATATTTTCTTATTAAATTTTATAATATATTATAAATTCGCCGGATATTAAATATATTAGTAAATAAATTAGAAATATCTTCTTTAAATTATTATATAAGTAAGTATTTAATATACTTATCTATAATCCTTAAAAGAATTAGGAATAGGACGATAGAGGATTTTCCTACAATTCTAATTGGTTGTACAACTCTTCGGTAGTATAATATTATAAATCGGATAGTTTATAAATAGAAGAGGCGATATTAGATTAAATATTATTAAATGTAGTATAGACGGGCAGGACTAACCTTATATTCGGAAATTCTTTATATTATCGGGAGAAGTTAAGGATAATTTCCGTATTCGAATTAGGAGGAATTTAATTTATTTTATAATTAATAATAATTATTAAAATAATTGTAGGAAGGTAATACTTAGGCATTACGGATATTAAACTATATACTCTAATATATAATATTATAAGTACCCTAAAAATCTATCTTAATATCGGGCCTTAAAACCTCCCAAATATTAATTCCAAACCACCGGCATTTCGTTACGTACAATATAATTCTATTCCTATAGGAGAAATATTATTTACAGACAAAGGCCTCATTATATCCCTATATATATTGGGTATTATAATAATACCCGATACTACTTCTATAATCCTTAAAATCCCTATAAACTTTAAACCCATTTTAATTACTATATTATATAGGAAAAGTAGGCCGTAGTAGGAAAATCTATTTTTAAATATATATTATAATTATTAGATAATAATTATAATTAATATTTAAAAGATAATATATATTTTTTATAGGGGGTAAGCGTTATAATATAGTATCCTTAATTTTAGAGCCGGGTCGGGTCCAAATTTCGAAATTTCTTAAAGTCTCAAAGTCCTACCTTCCTTTACGACCTTTATTAACGGAAAGAACTAAGTATTCTTCTAGAAATAACTAATTAGTTTAATAGCTAAATAATTAATAAAGTAGTTCTTATATTTTTATTCTTATTCGTAACCTTTATTCAATTCCTATTTGTAACTAACTTTTTAAATCTATTCCGAAAGACCTTTAAATTCAAATACCGCCCTTCACTTTAAAAAGTTACTATTAAAACTATTAGAGTATAGAAGGTTATACCCTATACTAAGCCTTATACTTTTAAATTCTAAGGGTTTAGAAGATAATTAATATTTAGAAGATAATTAATATTTAAAAAACAATTACTATTTTCTAAATATTAATTATTTATTAAATAACATTTATTATAATTTAAAGTTTCCCGCTTCGGGTAAATTAAAGTAAAGTAAAAATAAAATTAAAACCTTACAATTTTACCCCTATTAGAATTATAAGAAGCCGAGAATATTATATTTTACTTATATAGGAGTCAAGCCTTACTCCGCTTAGAATAAAATCTATATTTACTAACTACCGAAAAACTCTTTAACGTCTATTGTATATTCGTATATAAAATCTTTAATTTAATTTAATATCTAATATATACTACTAGTATATACCTTATTATTAATTAACTTCTATACCTTTAAATTATCGTCTTATATACTAAAATACTAAACTATTTTATAAGCCTCGCAATTGAAAGGTATATACAATAGGGGCTAATAAATAGTATATCCCCTTTTAATACTATATTTAAAAGTTCGTAGCTATAAGTCGTTAAATAGTATTTTAGTATCTTTAAATTAAAAAGTATACGGTAATTTTATAGTAAAGTAAATACAAGGTATTTACTATATATAACCGTAAATAATACATATAAATTCAGTAATATTAAATTTATTAATTAAATTATTACCGGACGCGCTACTAGTACTTTAATATTTATCGACGGCGGACGCGCTACCCTAATCTTAATCGCTCGTTTTAACCCGCTTCAATACCCGTAGGGAGGGCGACTCGGGTTGTAAGGGGGACTAGTTCCGCTTATAAATCTTTTTAATATAAAAAGACAAAGGAGTAAAATTATTAATTAGGTTAATAAAGGGCCGGCTTTATATACTTCTCCGGTCTATCTATATTTAATAAAAATATATCTCACTACCAATATCCTTAATAATTCGCCCTACTTACTTATAAAGAGCTATATCTTTTTATTTATAATATTCTTTATAAGTTTAGCCTTAATTTCGTTACCCTTAAAGGCTACCTCTACTTTCTACTTATTCTATTACGTAATTATATTAACTTTATTAATAATCTAGCAATTACTACCTATCTCTTTTTTAATATATTGAATTTACTTATACCGATTATAATTATTAATTCATCGCTAATCCCCCTCCTTAGCGACTAGAATATCGCCGATTAGTATTAAGGATTTATAGCCGAGTTTAATTGCTTTTAATTCGCCGAGTATATTTTTAAAATAATTCCGGAACCCGATAAAGCGATAGAGCCCAAGAAATATAATACCTAATAGATTAAATGTACCAATATTAATAAAATTCTCCTTTCTACCCTTAAGAACCCTAATGTTATTATTACTTTATATATTAATAATTAGAATAAACCCGGTAGAAACCCTAAGGTTATATATAATCTTATTTAATTATATATTATTTGTATTACTAATAAGGCTTATAACAAAGTCCTCGCCGAATATTTAGCTATTAAGCGTATTAATTTTAATACTATAGTTTCTCTTTTTATTCGTTATACCTTGCTCTGTAAGCGTATCGAAAATACTAAGTTTAAGATTGATAACGATTTCGAGATTACTTTCCTTTATAATGTTATAAAGGCCGCCTACCCCATCGATGCTAAATACTAGGCAGCCGCTTTGGAAGTTAAAGAACTAGATATCGGTACCTTCCTATCGAAGTTTAGTAATATTAGTAATATTAAATCCCGTACTAATATTAACGTTAATATTTAAAAGTTGGCTAATAATACTAATAAGAATAATAATAATAATAGTAGTTCGGTTAATAAGAAGAAGGATAATAGTAAGCGAATTGATTATATTAATTGCGATAAGAAGATTTATATTATTTAAAAGTATATTTCCTATAGTTATTATATTAGTAAGAAGGCGGATGTCTATTAGGTTTATTACCCTAAGAAGGTACCCGATATTTGGAAACTTAAGAAGGATATAATAGTTAAGAAAGTAAGTAACTAACGCTAGTACTAGTACCCTCGCTAATAATATTTTAATTAATTTTACTATTCCCGCTATTACTAATTTTACTTTATTATATAGAGGTGGAATGTTTATAAGTATATCGGGTATAAGTAGTAGTATAGATTTTGCTAGAGCTCCTAGTTAATATTGTTGAACGTATTAACTGTATTTAAAGTAGTTAATTAATCGATTATTTCTAATTACAACTTTAATATACCTATAGTAATTTAGCTGAAGACTAATAGGCTCTAAGGTAATATTAATAATTAAATAGTATTCGTAATCTAGTTATTATAACTCTAGTTATGCAAATAATATCTTCAACCACTTTAAATAGTTTATAAATATATAATTATTACTATATCCAGCCGTTTATACAGTCGGTAATAGAACCTCGATTTATACTTACCATATTAGTACCGTTAAATTAACTATAACTACCCTAAATAATATTACTATTAAAGTTAGAATTAAAGATTGTATTTATAGTCCTTCTATACTAGTAAATCTATTAACTATAAGAGGTCTTCTCGATAACGGCATGGTTTGGGATATAAAATCCAACCAGATATCTATATACGGTAAAATTACAATATAGTGTAAATAGATTAATAACCTTCTAATCCTCTTAGTATTTACCTAGCTAGACTTTTCCTAAAATATTCGCTATACTATAATAGCTTCAATCAACTATTCAATAATATATTGTCGCCTTATATATGTAGGCAAAGATTAGATTCTCAAAGTTTACGAGGCAGTTAGTATTAAGTTAAGTAATACTTAAGACTATTTCTATAAAGTATGCGTTAAAGCTAAGGTTTACGTTGTAATTCCTAAAATCGTTAATAAAGTTACGATTTAACTATTAATATATATTTACATTAATATCGTTTCCTATACTCTCCCCGGTTATAAAGGTTATAAATATATAATTTATTTTATTAATTAAATTACCGGTTTTTACTAAGTAAGGTTTATAGTTAATAAGGGTAATGCCTTTATTTAAATTAAAAAATTTAAGAAATAGGCTAAGTTTTAAAGCGGATTAAAAATTAAGGTATTTAATTTTAACGGCGGTCTAGAATTTAATTTTAATATTAAAGAATTTTAATGTAGTAAAATTGTTGATTAGGTACGTATAGAAGGTATCGAACTTCTAAAATTAATACTCTATACCCTATAAATATAAGGAAAAATCGAAAGAGTTAGCGCTATTATTATATAATGTACTAGAGTTTTAATAATAGACTTCAATATCCCAAAGCATTTATAGCCCTTTATTGTTAATTATATTATTAAAGTGCTTAATTTATTCCCTTTTAAAGTTAATAATAAAGGTAAAAGTCTATAGGAGCTATTCGCCAAAGCGGCCAACTTCCTAGACGAAATTAAGAAGCTATATTTTAAGTACTTAAAGTCTTATTTCTATACGGCTTACTACTTTATTAAATTAGAAAAGCGATTATAAGGCGATAAATTTCGCGTTAGAGTATAGAAAGGCTATTTTATCGGTTTTGATGATATTTATAATCGTATTATATTTATTTAAAATCCCTATATTAGCGAAATTATTAAAACTAGTATAGTAACCTTCCTTGAAGAAGACCCGGTCAATTATAAGGATCTAGTCTATAGTAGTAATAGTAATATTATTAAATATTACGTTATCTTTTCAAATTAAATAATTAATAAAATTAATAAAATAATAAATAGCAGTTACTAAATTTAAGTAAAGGTGGATAGTATAATACTATAGTTATATTTATAGAAAGTAATTGAATTACCCTAATAATAAGAAGAAATTAAAAAAATATAGGAGATAACAATTATACTACTACTATTGCTAAAAATTATACTAGCACCCTCAATTGCTCTAATCGCGCTAATTACTATAACCGCGCCGGCTACTATAACCGCTCTAATTACCTCGATTATTTAAATAATTATAGTACTTCTATTAAATATTCTAATTAATACGGTGTTACTAATATTACTGTTACTAACCCTGATTTTAGTACCGAATTCTCTAGTGCCCTTATTGCTAAATCCGCTATAATATTAATTGTTAAACTTGTTAATTAGAGAAATTATCGAATATAATAACAATTTTTTTAATTTTAAAGGTTTAAATAAAGAAAACCCTATACTCCGCGATTAATACGACCGATACGATTTTAATAAATTAATTATATATATTACTCTAGGTACTCCATTGTTTAGCAATCTTTAATAATTAGCTTTAGTAATTCAATTACTACCGATAAATATATTAAACCCTATTCGTACGCGATAATATACCCCGTCGTTGGTATTGCGAGTTAGTAAATTGTAATTTCAATTAAACTTAGAAAAATAAGCCTCGAATTCGGACCCTTCGAATTTAAATTTAGAGCTTGCAAATTCAAATTCGGACCCTATAATAATTTTATTAAATCCTATAGGCTAACAATCTATATAAATATAAGGACAGAAAAGCCAGCCCTCTAAGTCTAATATTTAAATACTATATATAAAAGTAAGTGAAGGTAGACTTTGTCGTTTAATAACTAAATTAATAAATTTTAAATATAATATTTAAAGAGTAAAAAATAGTAATAGTAATATTATTTAAAATTTAGTAATACTACCTAACAATTTCTACGGTACTTACCGTAGAAACCTTAAGTTGTAATAAACCTTATTTAGGAGATAATACGTATAAAGAAAATAGTAATTATTTTTTAAATATTAATTATTTCCTAAATATTAATTATCTTTTAAGCCCCTAGAAACTAAAAAAATATAGGGTATAACCTTCTATATTTTAATAGCCTTTTTTTAATAGCCTTTTAAGAAGGCCGATATTTAATTTTAGAATATTGGAATAACTTTAAAAAGTAAATAACGAATAGGAATTAAATAAAGGTTACGAATAAAAATAAAAGTAAAGAACTATTTTATTAATTATTTAATTACTAAATTAATTAATTATTTCTAGAGGAATAGATTAATTCTTTCCGTTAATAAAGGTTGGGAAGGAAGGTAGGACTTTAAGACTTTAAGAAATTTCGAAATTCGGACCCGACCTAACTCTAAAATTAAGAATATTATATTATAGCATTTAATTTTTATAAGAAATATATATTATTTTTTAAATATTAATTATAATTATTATCTAATAATTATAATATATATCTAGAAATAGATTTTCCTATTACAGTATAATAGAGGGTTATTTAGTAAGGCGTGTAACGTTTGTATATTGTCTTACTACTGTTAAAGTCGATTATAATATAATAATTATTATTATTAATAAAATTCAATGTTTTATCCCTAAGAATTATCGAATTGTACGTAAGTAGAGTAATTTTAAATTATATTAGTTATTAATAATAAAGAAGTAAATTAAAGTATTTGAAGATAGGGGAATCTATACCTTAATTCCTAAATCTATAGATATAGAAATTCTACTTAGAAAATAGGTATATAATAAGAAGTACAATATTAATACTAAAAATTAGAAAGCTAGAGTTAGATAGGTAGTTTATAGTAATTTCGAATAAAGTAATTAAATAGTATAAAAGATCTATATAGTAATAGTATATTCTATTAATATTAGACTATTTTTAATAATTATAATTATAAACGATTACGAATACTATTAGTTCGATTTCGATACTATTTTTTTAAATACCTTTATCCCTAACAATACTTAATATTATATTGAATAATTAATAGCGTTTGAGAAGGCTATACCCAATTATAGTAAAGAAAATATAGTATACTAACTTACTAAAGCACTTTACAATCTTAAACATTCCTTACTTTATTAATTTAATAGGTAATTATCCTCTAAGTCAGAACCTCTATTATTATCCTTATTAAAATCTTTAGTAATAATACTAGTAAGTACTATCTTTATACTATAGCGGGGTTGAATAGAAGAAGAATCATCGACCGGACCTATATTTAGGATATAAATATAAATATTACAAATAATTTATTTAATATTAGTAAACTATACGAAGGGGGTTAGTAGAGGAATTAATATAGGAACGATATAGGGTATTTATAATAGAAAGGTAGGTATTAAAGCTATTTTACCTAGTACGAACCGCTATTATTCCTTCGCCGATACGTATAATATTAATAGTAATTATATTAATTTTATTAGAAAGAAGGCGGATAGTCTCTTTAATTTTTATAATATAGAAATAAATTATAATAATATTATTATAGAGTATAGTAAGGTCCATTAAAGTATTAATAGTAGTATAAGTAAATTTTCTCTTTTTAATAGGAGATTTAATTATAATTATTAAATCCGAAATTAGGAAATTACTAATAAAAGAAGGTTTAGTACTAGTACGGTCCGCCGTAACCTATACGGCGGCTACAGCCTCTACCTTACTAATAAAAACTTTAAAATTACCCTTAACCGTATTATAACCGTATAGAATTATAATAGCTTTAATAAAAGTACGTACTAGGGGAATAAATTTAATATCCGGGTATTCTTTAGTCCTCTTCTATAACCGGTATTTATAATAGGGAATAAAGGGACGGACTATTTTATAAATTAGAAATAAAAATACTATAATAATAAAATAAAGATTTATAGGGATTCTAAAAATATTAGGCTTAATTAAAAATAGTTT